TTGGAGAAGAATATTGAAAGTGCCATGGGCTGCCAAAAGAACCAATAGATCCGTTTTGGAAAAAGTGCAGCCAGCGTGCTCCTTGGAGGACAATATGGCCAGACTATGGCTCTCATACTTCAGACATATTGTCAGGAGGGACCAGTCGCTAGAGAAGAATATCATGTTTGGTAAGGTGGAGGGTCAGGGAAAAAGAGGAAGACCCCCAACGAGATGGATTGGCCAAGTGGCAACATCAATGGACTTAAGCGTGGCAACAGTGGTGAGCTTGGCCCAGGATCAGGAAGTGTTTCATTCTGCTGTGCATAAGGTCACAATGGGTTAGTACTGACTCGATGGCACCTAACAACAATAGACTATCGGATCACCACTCTCATCTGTCCATTTCTTATACTGTGGTGACTTGCGAGTTGCTATGATGCTGGAAGCTATGCTGCAGGTGTTTCAATTACCCACTGTATCATCCATGGCGGGCAGGTTTCAGTGGCATTTCCAGACTAAGACACTGTAGGAAGAATGACCTGGCAGACTTACAAATTTGGGCACTGTAAACCTTATGGATCATGACTGAACATTATGTAGTGACAGAATATGAGCCCCTGAGGGTGTAAGACTTTCAAAATACAAGTGAAGATCTGCCTCCTCAAAGTAGAGTCAATCTTAATGGCATGGATTAGATAAAACTTTCTAGACCTTCGTTTGTTGATGTGGCATGTCTCAAAATGATAAGAAACGATTGCAGACATCTATAAATGATTGGAACATAGGATATATGAATTAGGAATATGTTGCAGACTGCAGGTATTGGGGTGTTGAGGACCATTGTCATGGACGAAAATCCAGCACATGGCTGCACTCAGACTTGTGGCCAGAGACCCTCTGGTGTCAAGGAAGTAACCTCCGGATGTCCCAGGTTCATTGGCTTTTACGCACTCACTGTTGGGCCAGCTCTGTATAATTCTCTTTAGTCCTATTAATTCACTCTATGCTTCGAACCCCTGTAACTGTAGCCTCTGAGAAAATGGTTTCTTAATATGCCCCTCTTAATGTCTCCACTGTGTTGGCAGTGCTTAAGGTTCTAAGATCAAATCTCTCTGAGAACAGACTCTGTCTGGCCACTGGGCAAGCTCGTCCAAACTGTTCTTTTTTAAATTATTCAGTTATGTTTGATACTAACTTAATACATGAGCCCTTGATACCCATGGACAAATATTAAAACAAAAAACTGCTCTTAAAGCCGAGGCTGGGAAGTTCCAAGGGAAAGTTTCTACCAAGGAATTAACTCAGAAGTAGATTGGTGACTTTTGGGGTTTTATCTAAAGAACAATAGGTGGCTGCCTTCTGCATTTGACCCCAGGTGCAAA